TTTTTGGCTCAGGTCATAATCTCAGGGTCCTGAGCTCCAGCCACGTGTAGGGCTCCATGCTCAGCAGAGAGGCTGCTTCAGATGCTCTCTCCCTCTCCTTCTACCTCTCTCTAAAATAAATAAATAAAATCCTTAAAAATAAATAAAAATAAAAAACAAATAATAAGCCTAGACCTCAAACCAGATTGCATATGTCTACTATTTTTTCTATCATGAGCAAACAGCCTGGTCTTCCAAAGGGGCTCCTTTAGTGCCCCTTAGAGCACAGATACAGGAAGCTGCTCAGAGGCTGAAAATTGGATTTGCAAGGCTCACATCCCCACGGTCTACAAATCAATATAAAACTCTTGGCTACCAGTCACCAACCCCTGCTTCTTCTCTAACCTTATCACAGTGCAGTGTTTCTCTTTTCCTGCAATAGCAACTCAGTGGACCTCCATTGTTCATTTGAAAAATTAGAATGAGTCTGTGGCTGAACTGAGGAATATCCCTGCATCTCCAACACTAAGACTGCCTCCTTCCTAAAGTTAAGCAAGCGGAAATGTTTACCAAAAAACTATAAAGTTCTACAGCACACCAGACAGAATCAGAAATTTTAACACCCTCTGAAACAAATTCCTGAGATACAAAAAAAATATTTTATGTCCTTTCTTTGTGCACACAATAAAATACACAAGATTATGAAACTATATGGGCATAAGAAACAGGCCATGATTTGAAAATACTACATACATAGAAACTAAAAATGAAGTAATGGAAACTAAAATTGTCCTGGCAAAAAGATAAAGAGACTCAACAATACAGAAAACTTAAGTAGAAAATAAAAAGTATTGGGGGCGCCTGGGCGGCTCAGTTGGTTAGATGGCCGGCTCTTGATTTTGGCTCCCGTCACGATCTCAGGGTCCTGGGATAGAGCCTGGAACCAGGTTCCACACTCAGCGGGGAGTCGGCTTGGGGATTCTCTCTCTCCCTAGCCCTCTGTCCCTCCCCCTGCTTGCACAAGCTCGCACACGTGTGTGTGCTCTCTAAATAAATCTTTAAAAAAAAAAAAGAACAGAAAAAATGCTTCTAGAATTCAGACCACAGAAAGGACAAAAAACAGTCCTTGAAATGGCAGCTGTTTGGAAAGAGAAAACAATAGTGAAAGACCTAAAAGAATAAAACTTTAAAAAGAAACATGAAAGCTTTCTTCATGGATCCAAACAAAATGCATGAGGAAAACAAGAGTACTTACATCCATAGATTTTCTATAGGTATAGAGATATCTTTCCACCATCTTTTTAAAAAATTTTAATTCTAATATAGTTAACATTACAGTGCTGTATTAGTTTTAGATGTACAATATAGTGATTCAACAACTCAATACATTATGCAGTACTCATCGTGGTAAATGTACTCATGATCTTCTCTTATCTCACCAATGCCAAGCCTTCGCCCTCCCCCCCCCCCACTCGTAAACATCAGTTTGTTCTCTGTACTTAAGAATTTGTTTTTTGGCTTGTCTCTTGTCTTCTTTGTTCATTTGTTTCATTCCTTCAATTCCACATGAGTGAAATCATATGGTATTTGAAAGTACAACATTCATGACACAAACCCTCAATAAAGTGGGTTTAGAGGAACATCCCTCAACATAATAAAGGCCTTATATGAAAAAGCCACAGCTAACATCATACTCAATGGCAAAAAACTGATAGTTTTTCTCCTAAGGTCAGGAACAAGACAAGGATGTCCACTCTCACCACTTTTATTCAACATAGTACTGGAAGTCCTAGCCACAGAAATCAGACAGGAAAAAGAAAGAAAGTCATCCAAATTGGTAAGGAAGAAGTAAAAGGTTCACTATTTGCAGATGACAAGATACGATATAAAGAATACCCTAAAGACCACCAAAAACCTGCTGGAACTGATAAATGAACACTCTACCATTTTTAGTAAGGATTCTCTTTAGTGACCAAGAAGCAAAGACCTTTGAATTTTAAAAATGAATTCTGATGGCAAAACAGTTTATAATCAAAGGAACAACAACAAACTCACCTGAACAAGGTGCCTTTTTGTGGAGGGTGGGTCAAAGTTGGGAATAATTTCTATCAAATTTTTCCTCATAATTATGACTCCATTTATGTGATTTAATCCTCCATGAAATAAATCTTGCAATTAATATTTTTAAAGCCCATCTTAATAAGATTTTTCATTAGCATACAATTATTATTTTGTAATTTGTTATAGGCCCTTTAAAATCTCTAGTTTTATTTGGGTTTTACCTTCATTATATACTTGCCAGTTCTAAAAGAACAAATCATAACAAATAGGATTGTTAGTACATAAAAGTATCAGAATAAAGACATCCAATATATTGCAGCTGAGGGGCACCTGGCTGACTCAGTCAGTAGAGCCTGTGACTCTTGATCTCAGGACCATGAGTTCAAGCCCCGTGTTGGGTGTAGAGATTACTTAAAAAGATAAAATCTTTAAATATATATGATTATACACATAGTAATATATATTTTTATATATATTGCAGTCAAAGAAAACATCATCTAAATAAATGCCTTAATAATTAATGCCTTAATGTCAATAAAATTCAACACAAATATAAATACAACTCTGAAAAAACACAAAAATATCAACAGTGTTTATATTGATGACAGGATTAAACATGGGGTTTTTTCTTGGTATTTCCAATCTTATATGAAATATAAATATGAATTTTAAAAATTAAATATTTACAAACCAGATTTTGTAAACTAGAAGCTAGAAGTAAATATTTATCAAACTTCTGAACACAGAAAAGCAGAGGGGAGGCCCGCCCCAAAATATAGAAACAAGTTTTACTATAGTTCTTATGTGTGCTCTATTTACATGTTACTAATTTGGTAAAAATTGGTTTAAGTCTTATTTTCATTATAATGTGTCCCCTCTGACCTCTCACTGCATGTGCCCAAGTACACAAATTGGCCGAGATCAGTTTGTAATACTGACATAAAATTTTAAGTGGGGGGGGAAAAATCAGGTTACAACATATATATGTGTGTGTGTGTAACCTGATATACACATATGTGTATATATGTGATATATATGATATATATATCGAGTAAGAGTCATATCAAACATAAAAATACATAATGCATTTCATCTAAGATCATTTAAAATTTCCACTTTATAATCCACTAAAAAATTACCAATTATGACACAATTGAATTTTATTTTATACTCACTGCAAGAACTGCTAAATTGAGACCAATTTTATCATGTATCATGCTGCTATTTCCCCATCTTCCATGTTACTGTGTGTTCACAGTAGCTTAGCTTTTTAATGACAAATCCTGGTAGAAACATCTTGAAAGCATTTAATTCACGTATCACCAACAATCACAACTAATTTTGTCACAAGTAATCTTAAGTGACAACCATATGACCATTACAACCAAGGACAGACATGCATAGGTAGTAACTACAACATGACATCTGCCAGAACGCACAGCGGATATAAGAACATCTCAATTTCAGAGATGTTAAAATGAGGGAGGGAAAAACTGCACCTTAGAATTGACAAAGAATTATTTTAATATAACATCTACTGGGGATGAGATTCTGAGTAATGTCTTCTTAACACCTTTCATGTATCTCATTTTATTCTAGTTAGTATATACTGTTTGATAATTTGAAAAAAAATATTTTTGCTTTTGCTTTTTAAGTCCCTTCTTTCCTTAGGCTATTTGTACTGACTCTCTAGTCTGATCATAATCGAATAGGTAGGAATCAAAACTGCTATACTATAGGATGTTGATCAACTACAAGATTTATTATCTTGATTAGGTTTGTGGGATTTGAGGTAGGAGAGCAGGACAGAATAAGTAGAGCTGAGGAGGAGGAAGATACCCAAAAGGGGAAAAAAAAAAAAAAGGGAAACTTAGGAGCTATTTACAGTTTAGCCTTGGACCATCTTCATCTTTAATTATGGCTGAGCAGAGCCCAACAGCCTACAGACAGTTTATGACCTGCATGTCGTAACCTAGGAAGAGTACTACAGACCATTGGGTAACCCAGGAGGCACCTCTTTCATTATTCTGACATCCATTCATTTTCATTTACTTTTTCTGCAGAGAATAGAGTGGGGGATGTATAAGGTGGGGGGATGGGTAGGGGGAGAGGGAGGGAAGGTGGGCTATCTGTATAGTGAAGTGTGGTAAGGGGAAATGAATAGATTTTAATTGAAGATTCTAATTAAGTTTGTTCTAGTTCCTATACTTCATTCTATTAAGGATTAACCTAAATTGAATTCATATTCTTAGTCTAGATGCAGTATTCTGGCTGAACTCCATGCACTGAAGAATCAAAGGTCACCTGAAACCAGTTCCCACATATACCCATCCATGCCCACCCCACCCCCACCAACTCAGTCAGATTCCAAGGAAAGAGGTTTTGCCCAAACTAAGGAGGGAAGATGAAGCCATATGCCATTTTACATGTGAAGAGACCATCCATTCACTTTCCTGTTACACCCAGCAATTGTTCTCAAGAACAGAATCCTTCCTCCCTCAATGCAGAAGGCACAACTGACCAAGCATCTCACTGAGCATCTCTGTCACCCCAATCCCCACCTATTCTATGGATGCCCCAGCACTTTGCCCTTTGAACTCCTATTTCATTTTAGCTGACACAAATGTCACTAAACCTTACCCCAAAAAAGACACACAGAGAAGATATTCTTGAATATTATCAGGATATCTTAAAATACAATGTTCAAAAATCATTCACATGAATGAAATGGGTATTTCTGGGTCCAGAAGTTATACAGTTTAAATAAAGCTCCTCAGGGAAATATCATTAAAACCCAGACCTTAGAACCAAGAGCCAATCAGTGTCCATGTGAGACAGTAACACTATTTTTTTTTTAAAGCCTCAACTCAACAGTGAGCCAAACATCTCTCCCCAGTCACATAGGTTTTGAGTGTTAGAAAGGGCCACTTAGAGCTGAAGTCCAGTGCGTAGGGACTTACATAAAGAGGTACTTCACTGCAGCTCAACTCCATGGCTTCTGCATCTGCAAAGAAAATAATGAATGAGCACTGTTATTACAGGAGGCACAATAACCAACCAGCACCACTGTGTCCTGCCCTGCAGTTATCAACAACCAGGGAGGAAGAACCACTGATAGGAAAACTGCAGACACAAAATCATGAGCGACAGGAAAGACATTCTATCTGTATAAAATACCCTCCCCATTTCTTCTTTCACATTAATTTCTACACATAAGGAAAACCTATCAACCCCAGACATTATCCTACTGATGGCTTCAAAAAAGAAATATTTTAAATATTTCAAGAAGCCAAGAAAGTCAACATAAACCTGTCCGAAATTTTGCCTTAGTTAACTCCTGGAATAATAGGCTCCTCAGAGGTTAGAATCGACCTTGGTCCAAATGAGGCTGGAGACCTCAGTGACAAGACAGTTCTTTGCCTCTCATCCAGAAGGCCAAAGATTTCAGTCTCATGCTTACACGGCGAGTAGGTACTCCACCGTTACCAACCTCTCCACCAGTTGGATCCAACCCATCTGCCTCTGGGTATGCCTGCTCCGTTAAAACACACACCCAGGGGCGCCTGGGTGGCTCAGTCGTTAAGCGTCTGCCTTCGGCTCAGGTCGTGATCCCAGGGTCCTGGGATCGAGCCCCGCATTGGGCTCCCTGCTCAGCGGGAAGCCTGCTTCTCCCTCTCCCACTCCCCCTGCTTGTGTTCCTGTTCTTGCTGTCTCTCTCTGTCATATACATAAATAAAATCTTAAAAAAAAATAAAAAATAAAACACACACCCAGTAACCAGCTTAAAGCTCAGTGTGGAAAAAAAAAAATAGCTAGCTTCATTCCAAAAGGGGTTCACTAACCACCTACAAGGGGCCAACCATTAGACAAAGATGATCAGGAAGTGGTCCAGCCCTCAAAAACCTGAGCTCAACAAGAAATACCTAAAGACAAAGTGAAGAGTAGGCTGCATGAGAATTCTGAAAGGGTCAAACAGTGAGACCCAACCACCACCCAAGTTCTGCCTCTGGGTCCCAGGCCAAACTCCAGCTGTAGTACCTTGGGGACATCTGGTAGGGCATATAGCAACCTGAATTGTGACATTTAGTACAGTAATAACCAAAGTAAACACTAGGCAAAAAGGAAAATACTCTAAGTTCTATTTTTATAAAAACCTTCAACTTCAGTTTCATTAATACTTCATATACATGCTGCAACTGGCACCCTCCTAGGTCACAAGGTATATTTCCTAAGTCATCTTCAGGGAAGACCAAAGGTCTAACAAGCTCATTTTCAACACATTGTGCCCTGTGGCAGTTTATGTAGACCTACTTAAACGTGCTTATGTATTATAATCAATTCTTAATGAAACTAACCTCATAAACTAGATGAATGGCTTAAGGATTCTAGGAAGGAAACTTCAAATTAAAAATAATGCTAATAAGAATATGACAAATGAGACTCTCATTCCTAAATATGAATTACTCATCAACCCCACTACAAAATAAAAATGACTAATCTAAGAACAAATAGATAGCCCTCCCAAAAAATCATCCATCAAGTATGTTTAAAATATGAAAGTATACCCAATAGCATACACCATGACCTCCTACCCTAAATTTATACTGGGCTTCAAGGTATCAGCAATTTTTTTCCCGATGTTTACAATCATGCTGTACAATTTTGATCCGTCAAAAAAATTTCACTAAACTTGATAAAGTCAGATCTTTTTAAAATTTCTACTTAATAGCAAAAGAAGTGTATTCTACAGGGGCGCCTGGGTGGCTCAGTCGGTTAAGCGTCTGCCTTCAGCTCAGGTCATGATCCCAGGGTCCTGGGATCGAGTCCCGCATCGAGTCCCGCATCGGGCTCCCAGCTCTGCGGGGAGCCTGCTTCTCCCTCTGCCTCTCTCTCTATCTCTCATGAATAAATAAATAAAATCTTTAAAAAAAAAAAGAAGTGTATTCTACAGTAAGTATGGTTTAAAAAGGAATGAAATACACAGAATATAGTAAAACCAAAATGTATTCCTTTGTGAGCAAAACTTTGAACACTATCGAATATTCTAATAAATCTTAGCACACACCAAGCTGTGTAACAGGTGTGCCATACACATAAAAGTACAGATGTTTTCCCTTACTCAGCTTTTTACACCTTGTCTGATGATACATCTAAAAGAAATCACTTTTGATGAGAATATGGACTTAATCTGAAGACTGAATTACTTCTTTATTTATTTTTTTAACAGAGAGAGAGACAGCGAGAGAGGTAACACAAGCAGGTGGAGCAGGAGAGGGAGAAGCAGGCTCCCCACGGAGCAGGGAGCCCAATGCGGGGCTCGAGCCCAGGACCCTGGGATCATGACCTGAGCTGAAGGCAGACGCTTAACCGACTTAGCCACCTCTAAATTACTTCTTTAATAAAAAGTAATGTTGTAGGGGCATCTGGGTGGCTCAGTCGGTTAGGCATCTGACTTCAGCTCAGGTCATGATCCCAGGGTCCTGGGATTGAGCCCCACATCAGGCGCCCTGTTCAGCGAGGAGTCTGCTTCTCCCTCTCCCCTTAGCCCCCTACCCTGCTCGTGTTATCACTGGTGCACGCTCTCTCTCTCTCAAATGAATAAAAAAAAAGTCTTGGAAAAAAAGTAATGTTCTATGGGAAAAGCATTCAACTACAATCACTGGTAGGGCAGCTGCTTGGATAAGAAGCTTGAAAAGCACCATGAGTGAAATTCATTCACTGTGTCATCCAAAGGAAAGATACTGTAATGAACTTGAAACTGAAAGCCCACAGAGTTCCACAGTACATCAATCATGGTTAATTTTATAGCAGGAAGAATTTCAGTTGAATAAAGCCAATTATACCCTCAAATTAAGGGAAAAAAAGAATTTCAAACCTGGTCCAATCTTTTCAATTTCTGCCATGAGCTGGGAAAGGATCATAAAAATCCATACACCACACTGAGGTGTATTGGTTATACTGTGGCAAAGTACTTTAAAAAGCTGTCAAACTTAAACATGGACTACATAATTTTCTCTTTCCAAAATAGAAGGTTCTGGTTTTTCTAAGAAAAGTGGCTATTTATGACATGTCTTTAAAAACATTCATTTTTCCAAATAAATAGCCTGTTCCATCAAGAGAGGGGTGATATTTTAGTAAGTGAAAAATATTTCAAAGGAAATTCAGGTTATAGATAGTACATGCCATCACAACATTTTGAAAAAGAGTATTAATACATGTTACCATTGCTTGGTGACTTTGTTGCAGTAATTAAAGCTTGCAACCTAGTAAAGCCCTCAAATCTGCAGGCTTTAAATTCTTGGAAAATAAAAAAGCTTTCAAATCTACATAAATCTTTCAAAACAAATATTTCATGGGTTTTCTATTTTAAAAATGTGACAAGTTCTAAGTTATAGGAGGACTGAGTGACATCAGGGGAGATGGGAGTTTGCGGTCACTTTTAAACATTAGGAAACTCATGTAATTGGTGGACGGGAGTAAAACATAAATCCCCTGATTTTTAAGTATAACACTGTACTTCCATTAAAATGTATCATAAAGAGGTTATCTGATTCAGCTATGACACACATTAAATCCAATTTCAAAGTAAAAGTGCTTTGAACCAGACACCCAAACTGAAGTGTCACAGAGTATTACTAAACAAAATAATGATCCATGTGTCTTATTACTTTCACTGACATTATTATATATCAATGTTTTTAATGAGAACAAAAAGGTTATGAATAACAATCTTCGTAGCTTTTTTTTTTTTTTTAAGATTTTATTTATTTGTCAGAGAGAGAGTATAAGCAGGGGGAGCAGCAGGGCAGAGGGAGAAGCAGGCTCCTCGTCAAGCAAGGAGCCCGATGCAGGACTCGATATGACTTGAGCAGAAGGCAGACACAATGGAGTGAGCCATCCAGGTGTCCCTAATCTTCATAGCTTTTTTTTTTTTTAAAGATTTTATTTATTTATTTGAGAGAGAGAGAATGAGAGAGAGCGCATGAGAGGGGGGAGGGTCAGAGGGAGAAGCAGACTCCCTGCCGAGCAGGGAGCCCGATGCGGGACTCGATCCTGGGACTCCAGGATCATGACCTGAGCCAAAGGCAGTCGCTTAACCAACTAAGCCACCCAGGCACCCATCTTCATAGCTTTTTAAATTTGGGGTAGGTTTTAGATAATACACTGTTGCCGTAGTACAATTTACAAATAAACACAATAAGGATACACAGGTTTTTTTGGGGGGGGGTTGTTTTTACTTCTAAGGGTACAACATTTGGCAGATCTGCTCCTATTAAATAAGCCTTTCTCCCCACTTATCAGGCAGTGGGTAGTCTTCCCAGTGGTTTCCACGCAGGCTTAGTAGGATAAGGAACGAGCTGTGGAGTGTGCCCAGGGCACCAGAGCTGGATTCTAGGCTTACCTAGCACAAAGGTGCATGGGAGTTGTACCGCAGGGCAGAAGGCAGTATCACACCACTTTAAAGCTACAAAGGATCCAGTTTCTCTACACTTTTCCATCATTATGATGCCAACTACATCACGTGAGGGTTTCCAATCTGCATCATACTATGATCTCAGCCAAAAGGTAAACATCAAGGGCTAGACAACATGCCCTTTCTACTTCACCTTACATATTGAAGAACTCCAATTTCATTATCCTGCCTACTCTATCTTTTGCCCTTTTTCAGTACAGACATTGAACAACCATTTGAACAGCAACTGTTTAGTTCTTGAAAGAAACTACATTTCACTCCTTTTAAAAATAAACTAAAACTAAAGTCCCCACAATTATCAGCCTTGGTCCCAAACCTTCTAAAAATCGCTCTCAGAATTTCTTGGTTGAGTTGGAGAGAGAATAATTTGTGGCAAGTGTATTATATACTCAATAAAATAATGTAACTTCAAATGGATATAGGTATAAAAAACAATATTCTCATTTGAATTTTTCTAAAAATGATCCCTCGCAAGATCTGCACTCACTTGCACAGATGCATGACTAAATCATGCCGTGCCACCTTTTACG